AAAAGTCTATATGCGTGGTGAGAACGATATTTTTCATTGATTTAGGTATTTGCTTACAGCTAACTAGCCGTAAGTCAGAGGAAAATTCTAAAAATATATTTAAAAAGAGCATGAAATTCTGGTTCTCATCGACTACTTTCGATCCTCTTCAATTACATTTAGATGTTCGAAAAATCAGCAAACATATTTACCAAGACTTTTGAAACTAGTGTTTTGTACAAATGTCATTTTTGCTCCCCCATCAAAGATTTCCTCTCAAGTATTCAACTTCAGGGTGTGGGTGGGTGTGGGTCTTCTTTCCACCCACACCCTAATCGAAATGAGCTGATCAACAATTGTTTTAATTCAATTCTTATGAGTGATCGAACTGTTAAGTGTCATATAACTACTCTCTATAGCTCTGAAAACTTCAGATGTTAATTGTATTGAAGAAGCTTGATCACAGACACCGAGACATTAGAGTTTTAAATTTCAGTGAAACAAAATTATGCAATATAGAGTATTCAAGAATTCCTTAATTAACATATAGCCCTGTGTTTCAGGCATGTTATACAAGAGAAAAATCAAAAATTATTAGGTGATGAGACACTTATAATACCATGAAAGCATAACACACGGTAGATAATTTCAATAGTAGAAAGCGTCACTTTTTATATTCTGATTGTTCTTAAGAAAATGGAAATTTGCAGAAAAGTACTGTACCATTGTGTTTTTTTGTCTCATATTCAACTTAATGAAATTGTTTGTGTTGTCACCTTTTTCGAAACGAATTCTTACTGTTTAACCACCGTACTTGGCTGTTTCCTAGAGAACATTATAGACTATATGACGATATAATAAATACTAAGAGATCCTGGAACTGGATTTATGAAAAACGTTGAAATAAATTATGTGAGAAAAAAATGTGTGACTTAAGCTTTTCAATTTTATATATTTCACATGGATGAGAACAGATTCACACATAGAAAATTAACATCTTTAATGTCTATCAAGCATTCCAATCATCAAATCTAGAAGTATTGCCCTTGTTTTTTGTGATTAATCAAAGTTATTAAATGTTATCAACTTCTTCTATATTTATATCAATGTTTTCATATTTCCTATTTTTGTCGACTTCTGTGTAATCCATTGCATTTTTAGTATGATTATAAGTTCCTTTAACATTGAATAATCGTTAAAATACGCTGTTACAACATCTATAAATAAGTATATTACTTTTTCTGAAAATGTCACCTGATCGTCGTCATGCCCAGGATCATTATTAGTGAATATTATGTTTGTAAACCAATCTTCATTTGTTTTATAATTACCTGAACAAAAACAAGAAATTCAATCACTATTGACGAATGATATCTTACATCTATAAGCAAATATGCAAAAAACAAAAATATACGACATAAATTACCGTAATATAAAAAAATCAAGATAAGACAAGTGTCTCGTACGCATAAAATCAGTCATTAATTCTATTTATTAATATATATCACTTATTGAGATGTATTTTGTTATAGCATGTTTTGGTTTCTATATCAGTAAAGGCATATCTAGAGTTGGGACATCTCTACGTTTAGAATGACTAATCCGTTTTAGCTGAAAATTTGATTATATCTCAAAGTCATATGTATATACCTATTATGAAAATTTCAGACGAATCTGTGAGATTGATTGAGTCATTTCCTGATGAGGCTGGTCGTTGCTGACTGCAATGACTCATAAGTATTTTGACTTTTTTTATCAACAAAAGCACGAAAAAAATGAAAGTACCATTTTCTTAGAATATTTTTAAATCTCTATCTAACGATATATAAATCATTGAAAAAATATATTTGCTCAAATATTGACTAGCTTCATCTTATTTCTAATCCTATTTGACTGCTCAAATACTTTCACAACACTATGAAATGGTATGAGTCACTATCGGCAATATTCGCCAATAAGACACATTACATTTTTCTCTTCTTGGAACTAACTAATCGTCGTACTAGCCGCTTCACTGGTTCTCATCCAATCTTATAGCTTGTCGTCAACCATGTTTTCTTATCTATGAATAACACAGTCATATTCTTCATTTTTTTTTGATATTCTTTCATGGCCTTCAGTAAACAAGTAGTGAGTATTTAAAGCGAGTAATTTCAACAGCAATATCATTCTACATAATGCTTCGAATCAAGCAAGATTCTTCTTTTTCTACACAACAACCAGAACAACAATATATGCCATTAAAAAAACTGAGTGTTGAAGCCTACATTAAATCATTTGCGGCTGATGTGACGATGAAACAAATTTTTCGTACCGATGAGATGAAACCAATCGAAGCAGTATATTGTTTTCCAATAGAAGAACAAGCATCAATATACTCATTTGTTGCTCACATTGATGATCGAGAAATTGTTGCACAATTAAAAGAAAAAAAAGGAAGCACTACAAGAATATAGCGATGCTCTTCAACAAGGTCTTGGCGCATATTTACTTGAACAAGATGAAAAATCTCAAAATAATTTTATTATCAGTGTTGGTGCACTACGAGCTGGTAAAGAATGTCACATTATGATATCGTATGTTTCTGAATTGGATCTGGTTCAAAATGGAAGCCGAATTCGATTTGTTGTTCCAACGGCTATTGCACCTCGATACAATCGGGACAAATGCGAAATAAGTTCACCAGCTGGTACTACGTCCAAATACGTTCAAACACCTCCATACACAATTGAATTTAGCTGTCAGATAGAGAAAAGCAACATATCTCGAGTGAGTTCGACATCCCATCCAATTCAGATTGATTTTAATCAAGAGAATGTCGATGTCATCAAATTCGCACAACAAAATACCCATCTAGATCGAGGTATCTTACTTCATATTGATTTAGCTAACAACCGTTCGAATATGATTATTACGATAGAATCAGGCGCTGCCATGACTCCATTTACACCAACTGAAGAAGATTGTCAACATGCAATGAACAATGGAGAGACGACAAATGAATTTATGTTTGTTATCGATTGTAGTGGATCAATGGAAGGTGAAAACAAGATTGGATTGGCATGTGAAGCTGTGTTACTTTTTCTCAAGAGTCTTCCAGTCAATTGTCATTTTAATATTATTCGATTCGGATCAAATCATGAGGCATTGTTCAAAGACACTACTGCTGTTTACAATGAACAAAATGCTAAAAAAGCTGAACAACTCATCAATCAGTTGCAAGCTAATTTATGTGGGTGTGGGTGTGAGTGGGTGTGGCTGTGG